ACCGCACTGGGTCGCGCGTAAGTGTGCGCGCGCGTATAATAGGCGCCTGGAAGGCAAGTTAAAAGCGCGCTTGAAAAAAAGAGAGAGAGAAGAATCGAGGTTTGCGTAAACGCAACGTACAACGCAGGGATACGAGCGTTCCTCTCTATCTTTCTCTTCCTCTTACTCTCTCTCTCTCTCTCTCTCTCTCTCTCTCTGTCGCGGGGGCCATATACCCGTCGCGATAAGCGGAGAGGAAGAGTGCGTATACGTGTGGGTGCGCTTAACGCGAAAGGAGTTAAAGAAAGTCTCTTTCGTCGGTGGATGGAGTGGCTGCTGGTTAGGGCTAACCACCGTCACAGCAGTTGCCGACACCAGCCAACGAGAGGCCAAACGTGTGTGCGTGAGTGAGTGCGTGCGTGTGACTACTATTCTCTCTTTTCCTCACTCTCTCTCTCTCTCTCTCTCTCTCTCTCTCTCTCTCATTATACCTATTTCGACCTATCCTCTCAATGTGTCAAGTTTGAAGGAATCCGAAGCTACTGCCACTGCTATTGTTGGTCAACTGTGATCGGGTGAGCGAAGAAGTCGAGTTGCGCGTTAGTGCGTTCATGATGGGGACCGTTTCGGAGTGTGTAATTTCGTAAATCGCGTACCTGGAACACGAGTACGCGGACTCGGAGTTGCGGCGGTGATGGTAGCGGTGGCAGTGACGGTAGCTGCGGTGGCAACGGCGACGGCGGTAGCGACGGCGGTGGCGGTGGCGGCGGCGGCAACGATGGCAGTAGTGGTGATGATGCATCATTGCGAGTGCGCGCAAAGTAACGCATGCATATTGGCAAGCGCTTTAGAGAGAGAGAGCATCATCGTACATTCATAGGACTAGGCGGCGTAGGGGAAATCGAGGATTGCACCGATGCTTTACAGCGCCCCAGTGGTAGCTCTTCTTCATTATTATTCGTTCGCTGACTGAACCATATTTGTCTCTCTTTCTCTCGCGCTCTCTCTCTCTCTCTCTCTCTCTCTCTCTTTCTTGTTCTCAGTGCCTTGCGCACCCAGTGCCCCTGTGCGACTACGTACGTATATACGTGTATTATCATTGGCGAGCGATTGTGCACCCGAGATATATGCTGTGTGTGAGAGTGCGGTCGTGCTAAGGAGGAAGGAGCGAATGCTTCGGAGGAAAAGCCGGGAGACTATGAAGACGGGAAGATATTGAAGAAGTAAGGATGATTTGATATAAGTGAGAAGACGGGCGCGGCGGGTGTGCGTGTGCGTGCCGCGGGCATTTCCTCGAGAGTGCGCGCATCCGATATAAAGAGTGGCATATTCACAATTGTTAAGCATCGTCGATCGATCTCTCTCTCTCTCTCTCTCTCTCACACACACACACACACACTCTCTTTATTTCTCTCGTGCATCCCTTTTCCCTTATTGTATGTATCATCGAGTTGAGATACTCGTAATGATGCGACTGATTGTCGTTTACCCTTTTTGGACTCGACCTTCTTACGAGCAACGCTACGCCCGAAACTCCTCGTCTTATCCCAATGAAATGTATTTCCCGATTCGAAACCTAACCTCAAAAACAGACGACAGAGCGCCTAATGCTCGCTATCTCCACCTCTCTCTCTCTCTCTCTCTCTCTCTCTCTCGCTCTCTCTCTCTCTCTCGCTCTGTATGTGTTTATCTATATATCTATTTATCTAACTATCTATTTATCTGTCTATCTATCTATCTATCTATCTATCTATCTTTTTAAATATGCATATATATATATATATATATACACACATGCATATAAATACTCGATTTCTGCGAGCTGTGCTGTGTGCGTACTTACGCGCGTAATACACAGGCATATAACGCACTTGCAGCTTCTTCTCAATATCTCCCACTGCCTATCATCTTCTTCACCGTCAAAGCAGTAATCTCCCTCTCCATTTCGCTCTCTTTCTCTCCCATCTTTACTATACGTGATATCCAGTCGACGGCAGCGTTTTGCTGATTTTGTAATCCAGTTAGCGCGCCCGAGGACACGTGCTCAGCCCGCGCGACACGCTCTCTCTCTCACGCCCCCCTCCTCTCCTCATCCCACCCTATCACTATATTTATTCAACGCCTTCCATCCTCGTCGCCCTTCCTCTCTTTCTTTCGAACGCCTACTCGCTCGTTCGTGTCTCTTTCTCAAGGAGTGGCACGAGTCGCAAACGACCACGAGGCTCTTCGCGGTTCCTCTCGCGCCCCCTCCCCGTCTCTATCACTCTCACTCCCTCATTTGCCAAGGCAAAGGCTAATGCTAAAGAGCACCGATCGCGCGTGTCAGTATGTAGAGAGAGAGAGATACGGAAACGACGAGCACGGCGATTAGTATAGGAAGGTGAGAGACATTGATACTTGGACTTGACTGTTCACGGGCTTCAATGTCCATCCGATAATCTGGTTTGGTCGTATAAGCGGATTTTCAAAACTGAACGAAAGAGATAGCGACCATTAAGGGGAGAAAGAGAAAGGAACACGACTGGCCGATAATAAAAAGCCGACGACCGGCCGGCTAGTCGAGCAGACGGGCGCCTCACGACGTCCGCGCCGTGTCTCGCACATCGTACCCATACTTATTGTACACACACGCGCGCGCGCGCGCGCTCAACAGTTACACACGTATATAGATATTTACGCATGCAGGCGTGGACGTGTGTGTGCGTGTGTACGTAGTTGCATATACGTAAGCAGGTTACTTAGCTCAAACGACGTTCACCTACTTACGTACGCGGCCATACGTTTGTTGCAGAATCGGCGAATCATCGGTGTTTTTGACAGTGATAGAAAGAGTCAGAGTACGCTGCCCTTTGAAAGCGAAGGGTGAGGTGAGGCAATAAGCCAGTGTCATGCGAAGGACCATTTCAAAAATGATCTTAAAGCGCGGGTCGCGCTCGCATCCTAAGACTGAGGGGTAGAGCGAGAGAGAGGAGCTCGAATGAGAAAACTACTTTCGCGTCCTCGCCATGCTTCGAAGCTATGTGTTCGTCAGAGAACCGTCAACGTCGTCGTCGTCGTCGTCGTTGCTGCGTGCGCCGACTGAGACAGACAAGAAGAGAGGGAGAGAGAGAGAGAGAAATAGTGCGCGAGTGAAATGGCGTGCGCGCTCGGCAGAAAGAGATAGAGACAACGGCGGGTTACCACACCCAACCGCGCCGGGAACCGTATCTAAAGTCAAAAGAGAGATAGTGCCTGTTTCTTCTATCTTCCTCTTTAAATCATTCTCTCTCTCTCTCTCTCGCTCACACACACACACAGACAATCCCTAACTAGTATTTTAACAAGGAGAGAGCTCATCGTAGGTCGTAGCATTGCCGACGACCCTCGTACTAGCTCCATCCCGAGTCGCTGCTACTCTCTTCCCCCTCTGTCTCACCGCTATTCACTTACTCATTCTTTCCGTGCCATTCCTTGTGTATACACACGCTCGCGTACGTAACGTGTAAAGTCGCTCGGGGGGTTCGCGCGGTGCGTGCGCTTAGGACTGGTTGTGCATGTCATCGCGGCGCACATATGACCAATGAGATGAAGAGAGAGAGAGAGAGAGAGAGAGAGAGAGAGAGAGAGTGAGAGTGAGACTCCCTTGAGAAGGAGCGAAAACGAAGACACGTAGTGCAGCCGCCGCCGTCGGCGCCGACGACCACGACGAAGTATTATTCTCTGGATTCTCTCGCTGTTGCTCTCTCTCACTCTCTCTCTCTCTCTGTCTCTATCTATCTATCTATCTATCTATCTATTTATCTATCATACACACACTTTATCACTTACTCACTCTCTTCCTCAGCGAGTCTATATGAGTGTGCAAGTGCGAGTCAAGAGTGTCGCTCGTCTCATCCTCGGAACACTCACGCATACCTACACGATCGCGCGCGCATGCACAGTCACCCACACATTGGAAAAGTCTTCGAGAGTGGCAAGCCGCGGCATAAATACTCGCTGTGCGCTCCTTAACCTATTTCGTGGCTACGGTACGAGTCCTCCACTTTCTCTCATCGTTTTCGCCCTTCCGCGTGCGTGCGTTTGCGCGTCCGTGTGTACGCGCGTCCGTGTGTACGCGCGTGTGCGTGCGTGCGTGCAGAAGAGTGCCGAAGGGAAGGAATACCGTAGCCTACGGGTAGGCATTCGCACGCGCTCTCTCCCTCTCATTGACACGGCGTCTTGGTTTTTACATTCTTCGCCCCCCCCCCCCCCCCCCCCCCAACAGGCGACACTTGGCACTTGGTATTCATCCATCCACTCAAACTCGACTCTTGTGTTCTCTGTGCCCTTAGGTGGAAGGACGGAAGGAAGGAAGGAAGGAAGGAAGAAAGGAAGAAAGAAAGAAAGAAAAAAAAAATAACGAAGTAAAAGGAGGTGTCGGAGTGAGTAAAAGAGGCAGGCAGATCGTTGCTCAGCAGAGTCAAGACAAGGAAGATCAGCGGAGACGCCGTGGAGAGCAGCAGGGTTGGTCGCACCATCGTCACCACTAGTGGAGCAACAGCAACAGTAGAACCAGCACCAGCACCTGCACCAGTACCGTCGTCGCAGTTGCCGACGTCGACGCAGCCGTCACTGTCGCCGCCACCGCACATGTGCCGCTGACGAAAGCCGCGCGTACGTCGGCCAGGGCAGCCGGGTGGTGGTGGAACTCGGGCGCGCAGGCCCCGGGGGCCTAGCGGCGCCTCACCCCCGGCAGTGGACGTGTGAAATAGGGCTGCCCTCGGATGCCCTAGACGAGGCGCGGCACCACGGGGCTAAGGAGCTGGCCGAGCAGCAGGAGGCCGCCGAAGAGGAGGAGGAGGGAGCGGCCGCGGAACGGGCCCGCCGCCGTTTTCGCCGTCCCCGGGATGCTCGCCTAGAAGGTGGTGTCTCGTGCGTGAGTGGGCGCGCGCCCCCGAGTGTGTGACCCTGTGCGTGTGTGCGCGCGCGCTGATCGAGCGCGGAGCGCGAATACGGGAGACGCAGGAGGCGCAGGAGGAGGAGGAGGAGGAGGAGGAGGAGGAGGAGGTGGTGGTGGTGGTGGTTGTGGTGGAGGAAGAGGAGGAGGTGGTGGTGGTGGGCGAGGGCGGAAGCCTGAGAGAGGAGACCTTTGACGCCGACGCCGCCGTCGTCGGCCGCACGGCCGAACCATGGCCTGCTGCCTGTCGGAAGAGGCCAAGGAGCAAAAGCGGATCAACCAGGAGATCGAGCGCCAACTCAGGAGGGACAAGAGGGATGCGAGGCGAGAGCTCAAGCTCCTGCTCCTGGGTAAGTCCGGGCCCCCATGGCCTCACCCCTCCCACGATCTCCGTGGCTCGCGACTGCAAGCGGTCGATGGGGATGGTAGTCGTGTGTTGTGATATGTGGTGTACCGCGGACACCTCTCCCCCTCCCATCCCCTTACCCTTACAATCTAACCCCCCCCCCGTCAACAACCACCCTCTCATCCTTCCCTCGTCTAACTAAACCGTTTTTTCGTGCCCGGGGAAAATCGTGCGAATGAGTCCATCGGCCAGCAGGCTCTTCGAGGCAAATGGCCCGCACAAACGTCGTTTCCCCGAAACCCGATGATGATGCTCAATTCCAAAATGATTCGGGGCAGTCACCGACGAGGCCAAGGAGGCCCCCGGAGGTCCCTCTTCCATGCGATACGAGTTAACGCTCGCGCGTACCCGATAATAGAGAAAATCTCATATCGCCGAATCCAATGACCTAAAAATAGCAGTGCGTTTATCGGCGCGAAGGCCTCCTCTCCTGCGAATTTGAATTTTTCTCTTCCTTCGTCGTGCTGCTTCGTCGTCTCACTTGTTTAACTGCGTTCGTTCGAGTTTCCCGTGACGTTTTAACTTGTCTCGGGCCCTCCGAATACGCTAGTCGCGCTGTATTCGAAACCGATCTTCCTCACTAACCGCTCATTTCTTATTGAATAATGAGAAAAATTTAATCATTTTATGTAAATGTGCCCCGACGAAGAGGCCCCGTGTATTATGCAGTTAAGGATTTTAAGTGATTGTTCGGCAGCCTCGGAGTTTCAAAGCTTAGCAAGTACATTTTATCGTTATCAAAAGTCCCGCGTACGTGCAGCTTTGAGGGTTTGTTGTATAGCGGGTGTTTGTGGTGTTGTTGGGGTGCGGGGGGGGGGGGGGGCGGGTAATGAGAGGATGGATGGGTGTGGACGAAAAAGCGGAAGCCCAGTCAGTTTAAGAGAATAAAACGCTCGAGTGTAGATAATAGTAGCTTGGTCCATGCGAACCACCACCGTAGGTAAAAGTTTTTCCCCCTTTCTTCTTTTTCACCCACCGGACACTCGGTTAATCTTGTATTGTAAATGTTCCTCTGTATCCTTCCATGTGAGGCAAAACCGTTTTGCTTTTTATTTCGCAGAGTGAAAAACTTAAATTTATATTCCTCGTTGATAGTGCTTTCCAAGAGAGCATTCGAGCAAAGCGAATCGTATTTTAATCCTTATTTTTCTCGAGATTAAGCGCGCATTTATCATGTTAGACGTGTAAGCTTATAATCCTTTTAGACGCAAAATCTGTAAAAAGAGTCGAATAAGTACAACTAGTTTTAAAACTAGATATTTCGCATATTGAGGGAGGGTGATGTTGAGGGATATTTCACACGTAGAGGGGGTATTAATAGGATGTAAAAAAAATCATAAGAGAGTAGTCGTTGTTTGTAGTGGCTCTCATATATTGAGAATTTGAAAACTAGATACGCGGGATTTACGTCTATGACTAGATAATGCTTAGTACGTGTGCAACTATTGTTTCACGATAATTTTTACGTAATGTGGCATATAACTGGACTAAAGTGCAAGCTGGCAAAAAATACATTGCTACTGTATATTATAATTATTTTTTAAACTTTTGATTAAATTAAACCCTTGAGATTAATGAGACAATGTGGTGTTTTGTAATATATTAATTATGTAATCAATCATATAGTGACGAATCAAAGTGTCATAGTAGAGCTTGAAATTATACATAAAAATATCGTGTTTAATGCTTTTATTCGAGTTTAAAATACAATCGAATGAAGATAAAGATTTCCTCCCTCTCGGTAGATTTTCAAACGCTATGTGATTGACATAAACATGGTGGATTCATTTCATTTATAATAAACTCTTATTGTACGAATGTGAGGAGATCCAAGTGCAAATTATTTTACACATTAAAGATATATGTAGCATACGAAAAAAGAGCTACGATGAATATAAAACCGACAATTATTCATGTATAGTGTATCTTTCTAAAAATGTAAAGGTAAATTGGTATTAAATTGGTATATCATAACGACGATAAATTTTCTACGTTACCAGTAAGGACTAAAAAGAGGAAAAAAAAGAAAAAAATTTTTTTTGCTTAATAGTATGGGCGCGCTCACGTGATTTTTACAAATTAACCTAATGAACTTTTCTCAGTATATTATTAATTACTTTTAATAGATTAATTTTATGAAAGTTACATCTTAAAGATTGCAAATTGTTTTGATTATTTAGTGACACACGTTCGACTATTGTGAGTTTTAAATGCTGCGATCTAATATTAAAAAATTTTCGTTTTTTTGTTTTTTTTTTTAATATTCCAATGAATTATCCAAACATATTAGTCAGAATTTTCTCTAAAAATTATTGCTAATATGAAAAGTATGAATTTGAAATATCTATTGAGAATATTCGTTGAAACACGTTCATTTTACATTAAACAAATGTATATTCTATATATTCATTATAAATATTCTACATTCTCATCTTTATTACCTGTACAATTTGTCATCGATCTATAAAAATACCGAAACTTTGATAAACTTTGGTAAAATGTTTTATACGTGTATTTTTAATATGAGTTTACACTACCTTTATTTATCATTATATTTATAAATTTAAAATTTTATAGAGATTTATGTTTATTTGCTTAATAACATATGTGTTAGTAGAATATATCATTTAGTTATAATTCATAACTGTACAAAAAAAAAACATTTACATCTAGATTATTTTAAAAATATTACCTTTATTGAACTTTCTCATATCTGACAAAAATTAAGTCGAATATTAATTATTTTCTTTGCAATATACAATCGGCTATTTGTTACCTCATGGATTTTTTTATCAGTTGAGTTTTATTTTAAAATCGACTTGATCGACTTTTCTTTTAAAATTGACTGAAATTGTCGTGTACCTTTAATGCAATTCGTTTAATTATACTGAAAAGCATTTTACCACTCTCTTGGATAGAAATAATGTTCAATAATTATCATAGGTTTTTCAGGCGAATCTTTCACTTCAAATGTTTTAAGTGGCCAGATTCTTACGTAAGAAGTGTAGGTTAGAGCTCTACTGTGGGAAGCAGCGACTCTTTAAAATTGTTAACAATTCTTATTGCTTTTAAAAACCTTTAAAACGAGAGATGTTGTTAACATTGCAAAAAAAAAGTTAGTCGGAGAAAATAGCAGTCCACTATAACAGTGTATATATATATATATATATATATATATATATATATGTGTGTTGAAATATTTATTCGTCAAGTAAATTGTACTATAATAATTATTTTATTGCTAAGAATAGTATTTATTTTATGTTTTGTAAAGTCTGGGCTTTATATATGCTACATTAAGACATGTAATTATATAATGAATACATTTTGAGATAAAAGAAGTAATTGTTTGTCTTTAACAAGCATGCGTAATAGATAATCTTTAACAATTTCTTCTGTTTTGTAATTTTATAGTCTACTTTTGGCGTATGTACGAAGTAACAGATTTTTATAAAGCTTTGCAAACTTTATTAGATTTGCAGTTGCATTGAAAAATGAATTTCACAAGTAAATTCATTGCCACGATTTACACAAACTTTATGTAGACAATTTCAAAAGTACATTTATGCGAATGACAATTTGCAACTTGTATTAATTCAGATGATTTTAGCCAATGATATTATATTTATTAATTCTTTTATCATTCGTTAAATTGAATTCTTTGAAAATTCGGTCATTGCTCATTAAATTAAATTAATGATTATAGATTTAATACTTGCACGATCTCAAGTATATTACCGTAGTCATTTAATGGTAGATAATGAATGTTTATTGAGAGTGATTTCATTGCATAAATAGCCGAAAAATGTTGTAAAAATATTTTATGCCAGCAAATAAATATAGTTGTTCATAATAAAGTATCGAGAAATTATCATCGAATTTTATCATTCGATTATTATCCACGATTGTAAATTCCAATAGTCTACAACCAATTATGGTTGGAAGCTGTATTAATTGACCGGAGCTCATTTGTTTCTACTCTTCCGCTTTCATTTGTTTTTCTTGGAACTACTGTACTCTGGTTCCATGTATATTTTTATCTTCCAAAATTATCCAGAATTTTTTTTCACTACTTGATTCGTTTCATCTTAACTGGTGTATTATTAACTTTGAATTTATAAATTTATAATTATTATATTAACGAATAAAATATACTCGATTACTATTATTTAGTTAGATATTTATTTAATCACTTTCTTGTTGAGTAGTGAAAATGAAAATACTTTATGAAATAATAATAATAAGAAGAATTATTATTATTGTTGTTGTTGTTGTTGATGTTGTTGTTGTTATTGTTATTGTTGTTGTTTTTATTCTTGTTATTCTTGTTTTTGTTGTTGTTTTATGATAAAGTATATATATATATATATATATTGTATATAAATAATAAATAATATCTACGCAGCGAAATAATTAATTTAAGTGTAATTTTAAATATATTTACAAATGCCATAAACATTTTAATTAACTCCTAAATTGGTCGTTTACATTGCCATTAATGTTTATAAACAAAGCTGCTTTAAAACATTAAATAATAATAAAGTTAATAATTATTTATTCTATATAATTTTGCAGTTCTATTTTGTTAGTATTAAATAAAATTATACTTATACTTATATTTTACGTATAAGAAGCAGCCAATTAAAGGTATCCGGTATCCGTTATAACGTAGTTTAGAACCTTTCAATTACCTATTTTTTCGACAACATTTTTATATACGCGGGCGCGCGCGCGCACACACAACCGTCGACACATACGGATAAGCAAAACTTAATAGTTTCGAATACCGAGGATCATCTACATGATTATGTAACTTAGCTCGAATATGCGAAACAAAATGCATTTGTGAAGTGTATAAATGCATGTTTGTAAGTTTTCAACTATATAGTTTTCTTTATACACTTTGAATTTCGCTAACTTGCATGATTTTGCGTGGATCCGGGT